GCCCCCAGGGGCCCGGCCCCACACTGTGTCCCCTCCAACACCACCTGGGGCACAATGCTTGATTTCCCAGGGACCACACCCTGCCATGGCACCCACACATTGCGCTCTCCACGGCTTCCATGCCCTGTTCCGGTTGCGGGGGTGGCCTCGTTCCATGGCTGCCAGGACCCCCTGCGTCCCTTGCCCTTTGGTCACTGATGGGCTCCACGCACGGCCTGCTGCCGCCATAGCGACGGCAGATTGCTACCAGGAGCGTCGCCATGGGTACCACGCCCTATTCCACTCTCCATGGTCCCCATAGCAATGGCTGCGTCCGCACGGGTGCCACGTCCTCCCGTCACTGGGACTGTTGCCATGGTAGCAGCTGCCCCCCCCCTCCCGCGCCCACGAAGGGTACAAAACTGGCAGGGGCACGTGCAGATGGGAAAAAGGGGGCCCAGGCTGGGGGCCTCAGAATTAATTTTTTTTTAAAAACTTACACCTCCCCCTCACCCCCACCCCACTAGTTAACCTCCCATATCTACCCGAGAGAACCAGGACTTGTCAATCAAAACCGGGTTTCATTTTAATGGTGAAAATCCAAGCCACTTGGAAAGGAGTGATTTCCCACAAACCCTCATTTCCTCTCTGGAATTCCCACCACCCCATCTCACGAAGTCGCAAAGTTTCCAAGCCCAAAACCCCATGATTGTATATTACTTCTCCCCTCACGTTCCTGAGATTTTATAACCCCCACAAATAAACAAAATACAACTTTGGATTCTACATTTTTTTAAACCCTGAAATTAAGACACCCAATTTCCCATTATTATAACACCGAAAATTTAATCTGTACAGCCTTGTCATTTTATATTAAATCCCCTAAATGAAAAACCTCACAAATCCCCATGACTTTATAAGCATGCCAATCTTTAAATAAAACTTGTGATGCTGTTAACACTCCAAATTTATAAAACCTCCATGAGTGTATATTAACACCCCAATTTTGTAATCCTTCAAATACCTGTGATTTTTCAATCACTCCCCAAATTAGAACAGACAACAGGATTTTACTATCTTTAAAAAAAACCAGCCAGATCTCCCCCTCCCTCGCCCCCCATCATATACAAAACAAAACCCTGTTAGGTCTGTGCTATGTTAAATGCTCCAAAATATAAATAAAACCACCAAACCAATGGGATTATTATATCTTCTTCAAAATATATAACCCCCAAATCCTTGAGATTTTATATTAGCCCCCCCAAAATTCCAAAAACCACGCATATACTGGGATTTAATATATTTTTTTAAATTTACAACCCCAACCCCCAAGTACCTGCAATTTTATATTTACCCCTCCCTGCCCCGATGTTGTAAAACCTCCCAAATATCTGGGGTTTTAAATTAGCCCCCAAATATATAAAAATGCCAGATTCCTGGCATTTTCTGTTACCCTGCCCCCAAAATTATAATCTCACCCCAAATCCTTGGGATTTTATAACACCATAACTCTCTGGGTTTGTATTAACCCATCAAATATACAAACGCTGCAAATCTCTGGAATTTTTGTTACTCCCACAAATATATAAATCTGCCCCAAATCCTCAGGATTTTATATCAACACACCTCAAAATCTCTGGGATTTTAAAATAACCTCCCAGATATATTAGAAACTCAAATCTTTAGGATTATAACAACTCAAATCTTTAGGATAACCCCCACCCCTAATTTATATACCTGCCTCAAATCCCTGGGATTTTATATCAACCGCCCCCAGAAGAACCTTTCTTCCTCGTGGGAGGAGGAAGACAGGGCTTTCAAAAGAGCACATCTGCTCTTCCGCAAAAATACCAGAAGAGCAGGCCCGTACCCTGGATGCGAAAACCCCTGGGCTACTCGTAATAGGGAAATCCGCGGGGGATTTAAATATCCCCCGCGGCATTTAAATAAAAATGTCCGCCGCTTTTTTCTGGCTTTTAGAAAAGCCGGAAAAGAGCGTCTACACTGGCCCCGATCCTCCGGAAAAAAAGCCCTTTTCCAGAGGATCTTATTCCTACTTTGAATTCCTTTCAAAGTAGGAATAAGATCCTCCGGAAAAGGGCGCTTTTTCCGGAGGATCGGGGCCAGTGTAGACGCTCTTTTCCGGCTTTTCTAAAAGCCGGAAAAAAGCGGCGGACATTTTTATTTAAATGCCGCGGGGGATATTTAAATCCCCCGCGGATTTCCCTATTACGACCTGTGAAATTAACATGCCCCTTTCGGAAAAGGGGCCAGTGTAGACGAGCCCCTGGGGTTTTAACTACCTCCCAATATATGAAAAACCCAAATTCCTGAGAGTTCACATTATTCCCTCCCTCTTCAAAAAAAATTATAAATCTGCCCCAAATTCCCAGGATTTGATATTAACTTCTGCAAAACTTAAACCTCCAAATCCTGGGATTTTATGTTCAACCCAGCCCTGCTCCCTTAAACAATTATACAAAAAACCCAGATTCCAGGATTTTAGAGTGCCCCTCCCCAAAAATTATAATAAAAGCCCCAAATCTCAGGATTTTATAGTGATCCTCCCCCCAAAATTATTTAAAAATAACCTAAATCCTGGGACTTTATAGTGACCCCTCCAAAATTATTTAAAAACTCAAAGCCCGGGATTTTTTAAAGTGATCATCCCCCCAAATTATTTAAAAAACCCGAAATCTCGGGATTTTATAAGTGAGCATCCCCCAAAATTATTTAAAAATAACCTAAATCCTGGGACTTTATAGTGACCCCTCCAAAATTATTTAAAAACTCAAAGCCCGGGATTTTTTAAAGTGATCATCCCCCCAAATTATTTAAAAAACCCGAAATCTCGGGATTTTATAAGTGAGCATCCCCCAAAATTATTTAAAAATAACCTAAATCCTGGGACTTTATAGTGACCCCTCCAAAATTATTTAAAAACTCAAAGCCCGGGATTTTTTAAAGTGATCATCCCCCCAAATTATTTAAAAAACCCGAAATCTCGGGATTTTATAAGTGAGCATCCCCCAAAATTATTTAAAAATAACCTAAATCCTGGGACTTTATAGTGACCCCTCCAAAATTATTTAAAAACTCAAAGCCCGGGATTTTTTAAAGTGATCATCCCCCCAAATTATTTAAAAAACCCGAAATCTCGGGATTTTATAAGTGAGCATCCCCCAAAATTATTTAAAAATAACCTAAATCCTGGGACTTTATAGTGACCCCTCCAAAATTATTTAAAAACTCAAAGCCCGGGATTTTTTAAAGTGATCATCCCCCCAAATTATTTAAAAAACCCGAAATCTCGGGATTTTATAAGTGAGCATCCCCCAAAATTATTTAAAAATAACCTAAATCCTGGGACTTTATAGTGACCCCTCCAAAATTATTTAAAAACTCAAAGCCCGGGATTTTTTAAAGTGATCATCCCCCCAAATTATTTAAAAAACCCGAAATCTCGGGATTTTATAAGTGAGCATCCCCCAAAATTATTTAAAAATAACCTAAATCCTGGGACTTTATAGTGACCCCTCCAAAATTATTTAAAAACTCAAAGCCCGGGATTTTTTAAAGTGATCATCCCCCCAAATTATTTAAAAAACCCGAAATCTCGGGATTTTATAAGTGAGCATCCCCCAAAATTATTTAAAAATAACCTAAATCCTGGGACTTTATAGTGACCCCTCCAAAATTATTTAAAAACTCAAAGCCCGGGATTTTTTAAAGTGATCATCCCCCCAAATTATTTAAAAAACCCGAAATCTCGGGATTTTATAAGTGAGCATCCCCCAAAATTATTTAAAAATAACCTAAATCCTGGGACTTTATAGTGACCCCTCCAAAATTATTTAAAAACTCAAAGCCCGGGATTTTTTAAAGTGATCATCCCCCCAAATTATTTAAAAAACCCGAAATCTCGGGATTTTATAAGTGAGCATCCCCCAAAATTATTTAAAAATAACCTAAATCCTGGGACTTTATAGTGACCCCTCCAAAATTATTTAAAAACTCAAAGCCCGGGATTTTTTAAAGTGATCATCCCCCCAAATTATTTAAAAAACCCGAAATCTCGGGATTTTATAAGTGAGCATCCCCCAAAATTATTTAAAAATAACCTAAATCCTGGGACTTTATAGTGACCCCTCCAAAATTATTTAAAAACTCAAAGCCCGGGATTTTTTAAAGTGATCATCCCCCCAAATTATTTAAAAAACCCGAAATCTCGGGATTTTATAAGTGAGCATCCCCCAAAATTATTTAAAAATAACCTAAATCCTGGGACTTTATAGTGACCCCTCCAAAATTATTTAAAAACTCAAAGCCCGGGATTTTTTAAAGTGATCATCCCCCCAAATTATTTAAAAAACCCGAAATCTCGGGATTTTATAAGTGAGCATCCCCCAAAATTATTTAAAAATAACCTAAATCCTGGGACTTTATAGTGACCCCTCCAAAATTATTTAAAAACTCAAAGCCCGGGATTTTTTAAAGTGATCATCCCCCCAAATTATTTAAAAAACCCGAAATCTCGGGATTTTATAAGTGAGCATCCCCCAAAATTATTTAAAAATAACCTAAATCCTGGGACTTTATAGTGACCCCTCCAAAATTATTTAAAAACTCAAAGCCCGGGATTTTTTAAAGTGATCATCCCCCCAAATTATTTAAAAAACCCGAAATCTCGGGATTTTATAAGTGAGCATCCCCCAAAATTATTTAAAAATAACCTAAATCCTGGGACTTTATAGTGACCCCTCCAAAATTATTTAAAAACTCAAAGCCCGGGATTTTTTAAAGTGATCATCCCCCCAAATTATTTAAAAAACCCGAAATCTCGGGATTTTATAAGTGAGCATCCCCCAAAATTATTTAAAAATAACCTAAATCCTGGGACTTTATAGTGACCCCTCCAAAATTATTTAAAAACTCAAAGCCCGGGATTTTTTAAAGTGATCATCCCCCCAAATTATTTAAAAAACCCGAAATCTCGGGATTTTATAAGTGAGCATCCCCCAAAATTATTTAAAAATAACCTAAATCCTGGGACTTTATAGTGACCCCTCCAAAATTATTTAAAAACTCAAAGCCCGGGATTTTTTAAAGTGATCATCCCCCCAAATTATTTAAAAAACCCGAAATCTCGGGATTTTATAAGTGAGCATCCCCCAAAATTATTTAAAAATAACCTAAATCCTGGGACTTTATAGTGACCCCTCCAAAATTATTTAAAAACTCAAAGCCCGGGATTTTTTAAAGTGATCATCCCCCCAAATTATTTAAAAAACCCGAAATCTCGGGATTTTATAAGTGAGCATCCCCCAAAATTATTTAAAAATAACCTAAATCCTGGGACTTTATAGTGACCCCTCCAAAATTATTTAAAAACTCAAAGCCCGGGATTTTTTAAAGTGATCATCCCCCCAAATTATTTAAAAAACCCGAAATCTCGGGATTTTATAAGTGAGCATCCCCCAAAATTATTTAAAAATAACCTAAATCCTGGGACTTTATAGTGACCCCTCCAAAATTATTTAAAAACTCAAAGCCCGGGATTTTTTAAAGTGATCATCCCCCCAAATTATTTAAAAAACCCGAAATCTCGGGATTTTATAAGTGAGCATCCCCCAAAATTATTTAAAAATAACCTAAATCCTGGGACTTTATAGTGACCCCTCCAAAATTATTTAAAAACTCAAAGCCCGGGATTTTTTAAAGTGATCATCCCCCCAAATTATTTAAAAAACCCGAAATCTCGGGATTTTATAAGTGAGCATCCCCCAAAATTATTTAAAAATAACCTAAATCCTGGGACTTTATAGTGACCCCTCCAAAATTATTTAAAAACTCAAAGCCCGGGATTTTTTAAAGTGATCATCCCCCCAAATTATTTAAAAACCCCAAATCTCAGGATTTTATAGAGATCCTTCACAAAAATAGTAAAAAAAAAACCCAATGATGGGATTATATAGTGACCCCCCCCAAATTATTTAAAAACCCCAAATCTCGGGATTTTATAAGTGAGCATCACAAAAATAGTAAAAAAAAAACCCAATGCTGGGATTATATAGTGACCCCCCCCAAATTATTTAAAAACCCCAAATCTCGGGATTTTATAAGTGAGCATCCCCCAAAATTATTTAAAAATAACCTAAATCCTGGGACTTTATAGTGACCCCTCCAAAATTATTTAAAAACTCAAAGCCCGGGATTTTTTAAGTGATCATCCCCCAAAATTATTTAAAAACCCCAAATCTCAGGATTTTATAGAGATCCTTCACAAAAATAGTAAAAAAAAAACCCAATGATGGGATTATATAGTGACCCCCCCCCC